CTGTAGCCGTCCAGGTATTCTCCATTTCCTCGAATCACGGGTATCTCACCTGGGGGGTTTAACCCCCTCGCTTCCCCGTAGTCCGGTCCTATGCCCGGGCCCACTCCGGCTGGTCCAACAGGGTTCGCTCCCGATCTGCTGGCCCAGCCGCCTTCCAGCAGCTGCCGTGGTCCTTGCCCACCATCTCTCGCTTGCTGCTGAAGAAATTCCCCGCCACCGCCGAGCGGCTGCATGTGCTCGTCTTGTTGGCCTTCGGTGGCGGCAACCCAGCCGCCACTACTGGCTGCATCCGCCAGGACGCTGCTAGGCTCCTTCTTCTTTATCGAANGCAGCTGCCGTGGTCCTTGCCCACCATCTCTCGCTTGCTGCTGAAGAAATTCCCCGCCACCGCCGAGCGGCTGCATGTGCTCGTCTTGTTGGCCTTCGGTGGCGGCAACCCAGCCGCCACTACTGGCTGCATCCGCCAGGACGCTGCTAGGCTCCTTCTTCTTTATCGAATTCTCCACCAGGGCCGCCAATCGTGAGACCTGCAGTTGCAAACTTGCAAGCTCCGCATCGCTGCCCTCCTGCACCGGCGGGCGGATCTGTTGTCCGCTCGCAGCAGTGCGCTCTTCGTCTCCAGCAGAGCTCATCCCAATGTGGCTTCCCTCGAGGGGCAGAAAACTCAAAAAGAGCAGGGAGCATCTAAGCATCAAGCACTACAGTCTCTACAAAGACAACAAGGGCATTCCACTTAGGGTTGACGAATACGAGAGTTGGCGGCCTACACCACTTATTTATCGGGTGAGACTGTTTTGGTGATGTATTAACTTCACGAGAGGTAGACGACCGTCCTTCACACGGACGAAAGAGGGAGTGCTCAAAGAGCGGCTCCCACAGCAAGGAGGGGCAACGTGACTCATCGCGGTGCCCCCTATCAAACGGTGTCAGCGTTATTTCGCTGTGCACTAGCAGCAGTACGATGCTGCAGATGCCAGGAGGCTGTGTAGCCTACCTCAGAGGTTCACACTCTGTGCGGCTCCAACCGCGAGAGACTTGGAATGGAAATATGAAGATGTTTATATTAATTGCTGACTCCCGAGTCAGATTGATGTTGCTGGTACTGAAGAGGAGTGAGAAGGGTGGCGAGCTTAGGGCTGCACCACTCTCCTCGAATACCGGACAAATAAGCCAATCACACGAAGGAACTAGAATGTCTCCAGAATAATTCTGGAAGCCCTCCTACGTTCTAGATAGAATGCTTCCAGAATTTTTCTGGGAGCCCTCCCATGTTCTAGAAAAGTAAAAGTATCAAGGGCAACCTAGGTCTAGAACGCCTCCAGAAGCTTACAGAAGGTTCCAGAAGGTTCCAGAAGCTACACACGTTCTACGTAGATGTCCCGGTCGACCTTGACCTAGCATGCTTCCGGGATATTTCTAGAACAAGAGAATACATGCCACGGAGAGATAGATTATTTTCTACTACTACGCAGACCAGTTGCTGCAATCGTATTCAAAGGTCAAACCGTGTCCGACTACACGATTTTTCCTGACAAACGGCAATCTTACCAGTCTGCGTGACACCAAGTCATCCAACACGTGTATCCAACACCAATGTTAGCAGACCCACGAACAAGGTTAATGGTCGGTGGACTACGGCATGCACGGCTATGAGCACTCCCCCCCCCCGGCTGTCTGAAGAACATGACGTTTCAACAGAACACACTATTCCCATCAATTGCTCATTTTCCGACACTCGTCGCGAGTCCTCCACCATGTTTTGAGCACACTGCCTCCAGGCAATGAGTCCGTTCCCCTTCCCTCTACATTTCCTCGTTCGGACCCCCCCCCCCCCCCCCCNCCCCCCCCCCCCCCCTATGCCATCGATGTTGTTGACGTCGATACTTGGGCACCGAAGGAGAAAACAAATATCAGATTTTCTTCGCGGAGAGAGAAGAAAGACGAAAAGTTGAACGAAGGAATAGGGTTCAAGGGTTGTTTGCACGGACCAAAGGATGACGCAGAGATAAAATTGAAGGTCTCAGTTAGGTCTGGGGACAATTACCTTCGAGACCGTTGATACAGCCAAAGATTGAAAGGGAATCATGCTGGTGGACCAGAAGACGGCGACAATTCGGAAGGACGCCAGTATTGCATCGACGCAAGGTCGAACGGAGGAGCTATGCGGGGCCTGCACAGGGTGATAGTTGCGGACAGTCGTTAGACTCTGTTACCACAGATCTTCAAGCCCCGCCCTCACTATGTATGTGGTGGATCATGCACCAAGCAAGGCGCAGGCGATCTGTGGACTGGTACAGATACAACGTATCTACCGAGGGGGCAGACAGATTTGCCCTACCAGCCGTTCGGAGATTGCGGAGATCGTCCTGGAGACGGACCGCGGTGCTGCGGGAGCAGATGCTCACGACCTGCTTCCAATTGTGCATCTCACCAGCTTTACGAAAAGCAGGCCGCCATCAACCCTACAGGGGTGGTGTTCAGCAATATAACGGCCAAGCCTACACGTCCGACCCATCTCTTTGTACCTGGGAGATACCGTAACAAGTGTGCGCACATATCGTCACGCACAGCGTAAGCCCACGCAAGCAGCAAGCAACAGCAGTACTCATGGGCAGCCCTTCCCCAAGGACACTCGAGGGGCTAGCGATAGTCACGGGAGCTGGATGGCTTACTTTCTTCCAGGTGAACGAGTTTCCGTGTGACGCAAGCCCCCGAGCCCTCTGAGTGTTTTTTCGTCCAATTGCCTAGTTGAAGCGGTCGGCGGCGTCGTTGACGTCATGGGCGTACAGGCACAGCAGTAACGGCATGTAGCATTGTGGAACCAAGGTAAGGGACGATATGTAACCAACCACCGGGAAGAAGTAGCCGCAATAACACCCAACTTTAGCATGAGTCCCCACCATCTGGCAGTTATTATCATTGCTGCCCTGCTCGTATGTTGTTGGGATCGCTGAGCAGCAACTAACTGCTCTTCTTCCGGAGACACTTTGAAATGGAACGATGTGTCTACCCCCTCTTTTTGGATAACGGGCCCGGCGGAAAAACGGGGGTTTGCCTACCGTATACCCCCGCCCTTTTCGGAAAACAACAACAGGAGAACCCACCCCCGTGCGTCGACCACCGAACAGCTCTCCACTCAATTCTGAGGCACGATTTAAGGCCTGTAAAGACCCGGTTGCCCCGGTTGTCAAGTTGGTATCCTCGAAACCTTCTAGAGGTCAGGTCAGGGGTCCGAATCCAGGCGTAAGCGAGCTTTTCTTGCACAGTGAGTTTTTCTCTCGCTTTCCGCTCCTGGCCTAGTGGACAGCGCTAGTTCGTGTGTACACAGAGGGAAGAGAGTGCTGAACTGTTCTCGCATCAAAAACGAAGGCAAAGTACAGCAGGAGGGGACGGTAGAGAGGGGCCCTTCTGTGTGACCACGGGTTGGAGTAAACGGCACTATGATAAATAGTGCTGTGAGCGCTGAATTGAAGTGAAGAAAAAAAAAAAAGAGCGCACCGGCGTTGCCCTTGTTGTAGAACCCGAGAACCTTTTACAACCCGGCCGCACCGCCGCGTGAAGGCATCAGTGTTCGACTAACCACTGACCACCCCCTCTTGCTTGCCCACAACTCGGGTATTCCCCCCAGAATCGACTATTTTCGTATGCTAACCTTTGTGGTCTACTGGGTTGCCACTTGTTGACGATTGAAAACGAAAATATGCCCCCACTAACTACCCGCTGCTTCGGCGCCACGTGCCAAAGGCCCCAACACACACACCACAGGACAGCGTGTCCGTCTCGATCGTTTCCACCGCCTCTCTGTTCAACCATGGGACAAGCGGGAAAAACGCGCTCCCTGAAATATTAGTTGATGCGCTTGGTGACAACAAGCAGAGACAACTGCAGCTGCCGGGGGAACCGTAGATAAACACTGGTGGTGCTTCTCTAATAATGCTTTGAGTTCATTGCGTATATATCCTGGGCTCATCTGTGGAAAGAGATGGGTCCGTTAAGTTACATGCACATACAGAAAAAAATAAAAAACAAACTGTCTTACCACAGGGGCTATCGCTGTATGCTGCTTGGGAAATCATGGTCATTAAAATATGGGTAAGCCTCCTGCTGACGCCCTGACTTCATTGCTAATCTATCTTAAGACTATTTTATGTGGATAGAGATGGACTCTTTGTGACAGAGATGGATTCGTCGTGTTGAATTTAGAAAAAATATACATACAAGTATATACATACCGCGTCGCCCACCGGGGAAGCGAGAGACGAGGGGGTCGCCCCCCCGACCAAACAATGGTTGACCAAGAAAATGGCTTGCATTTTGAGCATCTCCGTCTTGCGTCCCACTCCATATCTCTTTGTCTGTCCTGTTTCCCACCGATGATGATGCGTGGCGGGCGCACGCGAAGCTCGGCTCTCTCGTGTCTCTGCTGGGTTTGTGCACGTGTACGTGTCGCGAGGTTTGCACAGCATGTGCGAAGGCATTTTGACCGATCGTTACACCCGACCACAAACCCTCCCACTACTCCCGCCACCGCCGCGCTGCAGCTCCGCTCCTCGGACGTGCCCGTTCATTTGCAGCTATGCCATGTTTGTACACACAACGTGCGTAGGATTTTTAGACCGATCGCTGAAACCCCGCCCTACACCACAACTTCCCGCCGCCACCGCCGTACCCCAGCTCCGCTCCTTGGAGTGTTCGTGCCTCTACGTCTGCCGCGAGTCTAGGCGTCAGGTTGCCCGTAGGGTAAGGGTAACGGACGGGACTCCCCGCACCCTGTGGCGCGTCGACAGAAGAACAACCTCCGCCGAAACGGCCGGCAGCGGGAGCTACTCCGGCGCTCACGGTGACGGCGTCAGAGGCGGCAGCGTGGCGGGGCCCAGCAAGCGGGCGGCGGCGGCGACGGCGGCTTCGGGAGCAGGCTGGAGTGGCTGTGTCGGCAGCAGAACCACCGGCGGCGGTGGCGGCGCCCAGCACAAGTTTTCGTGGCACGGCAGGAGTAGCAGCAGCGGCGACGCAGCAGCCGGGGCTGTCGTCGCTCCTCCTGGGTCTACCGCCGCCAGCAGAATTCGGGGCCCGGCCACGAGTAAAGCTGCGCCCCCTGCTGCTGCAGCTTCTACGCCCCCTGCCACGCCCACCCCGGCCAGGGCTACTACTACTACCGCCTCAAGAGTTCCTCTCGTCAGAGCCGTCGGCGTAATCTGGCAGCTGCCGGCGCTCGAGCTCCTCGAAGCGGGCTTCGGTTGGCCGCGAGGAGTAAAAGAGCTCCACTTCGGGGCAAAGTTCGACGAGAAGGTGGACATGGTGGAGTTTCCGAAGACCCTGGAGGCGTTGACCTTTGGCTACTGGTTCAACGAGTCCCTGGGGCCCGGGCGCGTCCGGTGGCCGCCCGCGCTGAAGAGGCTCAAGTTCGGGGCGTCGTGGAACCGGAACCTGGTGGGGGCTAAGGACACCTGGCCAACGTCCCTCGAGGTCGTCAGGTTCGGCACTAGCTTCGACAAGCCCTTGAGGGGCGGAGATGGCATCGGGCTGCCGCCACGCCTGCGGGAGGTCCACCTGGGGGGCGTTTTCAACCAGCCGCTGGACGGGGTGGAGTGGCCGGCGTCCCTCGAGAAGCTCACGCTCTCGGAGTACTTCAACAAGTCCCTGGGGTTTGGGAATGGGGACGGCGTCGTGTTTCCGAAAGGCCTGAGGGAGGTCGTTTTCGGCGGAAGGTTCAACCAGGTAAAGGGGCTTTCGGAGATCTTCTGTTTGGATATCCTCTTTTTCGGGGATCCTCTTTTTTGGAGATCCGGTTTTCGGAGATACTCTTCTTTTAGAGATCATCTTGACGACAAGGAAGGAGATCGTCCGCGCACACCACGCCATAAGTTTGCCCATGCGTTTATTTTTTTCTCTGCTGATACGTACCGTAAGCGTTCGGGGCATCTGACTTGACCCCTTCTTCATCGTTTTCGCGCGTGCTGCTGAACCGCACCGCCGGAAGTCAAGCCTTTGTATTGCTTGGCGGCTACGAAAATGACGGTCCTTCTTCGTTGCACGCACTGCTATGCCCGCACCGCCGTAACGATTCAGCTTTATTTGCTTTGATGTCGACCAAAACGTTTCCGCAGGCGATAGACGACGTCGTTTGGCCGGAGAGGCTGAGGACGCTGAAGTTCGGGGACAAGTTCAACCAGGCGTTCCCTTCCCCCGGCATCGTGTATAGCTACCGTGCCCGCGCCGTCGGCACCGCCGACACCGGCGGCGGCACCGGCACTACTCCACCGCCTCCCTCTGCTGCTGCTGCTGCTGCTGCTGCTTCGCCGCCGCCGCCGCCGTCGTCGTTCCTGCTCCCCGCCGGGCTGAAGGAGCTCGTTCTCGGCGACGGCTACAACCATCCGCTGGCCGGCGGCGAGCTGCCGGACGGCCTGGAGAAGCTGGTGATCGGCCAGTCCTTCTCCTTCGTGTCGTCCGTGCACTGGCCGGCGGAGCTCCGGCGCCTCGAGTTGTCCTGCAGGTGGGGTGATGCGCGAGCGGGTTCTTTGGGGAGCGGGGGGAGTCGCCGCCAGTGGCGGCCTTCTCGCTGCTTGTCGTTGCCGAAGAGGCTGGAGTACCTGGACACCGGAGACGGCTTCAACTCTCCGCTGGACACGGTCTCCCTGCCGGCGAGTCTGAGGGTCTTGATCCTCGGGTCCGCGTTCAACTACCCCCTCGACCACGCCAACAACAACAGCAACAGCAACAACAACAACAACAACAACAACAACAACAACAACAACAACAACAACAACAACAACAACAACAACAACAACAACAACAACAACAACAACAACAACCCCCAAGAGGACGAGAACCAAGCACAAAGGATACAACAACAACAAGGGCGAGGAGGAGGGAGTAGCAGCCACCGACAGCAGCAGCAGCAGCAGCAGCAGCAGCAGAAGACGTCCGACTTGGACGCCACCCCCGTCCCACCGCCCCTCCTCCCCGGCGGCCTAGAAGAGCTGCGGCTCGGCGCGGCGTTCAACCGCGAGCTCGAAACCGCCCGTCTGCCGGAGCGGCTGAAGCGCCTGGTGTTTGTGGCGGAGTCGAAGTTCGACCGCCCCGTCGCGGGCGTGAGGTGGCCCCGGGGTCTGGAAGAGCTCCGGTTCGGGAACTGCTTCGACCAGCCGATGGAGAGCGGCATCGACGGCTTCGACGGCTTCGGCAGCAGCGGCGGCTGCGGCGGTAGCGGCGGCTGCGGCGGCGACCCCGCTCTAATGCTGCCGGCGACGCTGAGGGAGCTGCACTTCGGCTGGGCCTTCTCGCACTCATTGCAGGGGCTGGCGCTGCCGCGCGGCCTGAGGCAGCTCTCCTTCTTCGCGCGATACCCGGTGTCCCACGTGCGGGGGCTGGAGTGGCCGCCTTCCCTTCGGAGCATCCACGTTGGCTCGTTCCGGTTCGGGAGTCGCAAGGACGTGGCCAAGTGGGCCGCACAACCCCCGTTTTGAGTTGTGTTTTGTTAGCTCTCCTTTTTTTTCGTGTTTTTTTTTCTTTCGCGGTGGCCTCTGACTCAGTGCCCCTCCCTGTACGTACACGGGTGTGCGGCTTTGGAATCCGAGCGCAAGGGTAATGTTGGAAACATTTTTTTTCAGGAGGAGAGGAGGCGGTTGGCGAACGAACGAGGGGCTCCGTGGGGTGTTTGGCGCAGGACGCGCAAATAAATGTAGGAAAACATTTCGGTTAATGATATTTGGAACACGGAAACGTGTGATAGAGAGGTCCAACACTCACGCACGCACGGGAACGGTTCCTTTCAAAGTATTGGCCAATCAGAACTGTTTGGGTGCGATAACTTCGTCAGTGGCGGAAAGGTAAAGCAGGTCGACTTTCACGTACTCCTCCTTTCACAATATTGGCCAATCAGAACTGTTTGGGCACGGCAACTTCGCCAGTGGCCGACAGAGAAATAGGTTTTGACTCAAGACCTTAACATATAATGTACGAGTGGGAGACATGCGGGAGGCAAGATGGGGCCCGCACGGATTACATATCCATGGTACAAATGTGCTCCACGTAACTCCCAGAGGCCCCGTGGATTAGTGCTCTACCGAGCACCCCCCCCAAAAAAAAACAGTACCCGGCAGCAGCAGTTCGTGAGTTGAAGGGAAAAATTCTACCGGACTCAACAATGCGGCGCCTTACAAAAACGGTTCAAGAATTCCTTCTAGGTTCGTTCGTTTTGAGAACAGGAACCAATCGTAAACGTATTCTGGCAGCCAGATCGTCGTGGTAGCGCATCTCTGCCCAGTGTAGTAGATGCACGGGAGAAGCACCTAATTATTCTGGAGCGGCCGTTGCCAGCAGCTTCTGACGTTACGGTACCATAATGCAACGATTTCATTCGCCGTTTGCGGGGGGGGGGCGGAGTTCCCAAAGCAGTCGTACATACCCACAAGTCGTTAGACCATTTACCTCGCATTCCTTACAAAGCCGGGACGGAGCGCGCCGGGACCTCACCGCACGGGTCGCCCAAAAAAGAAAAGAATATTCGCGTTCGGAGGCTTTCTCAGCCTTAACGCAATTCGTGAACATTCCTAATGTTTCGACGGAGGAAGGATATACACTTGGGCAAAAATTACTCATCTCTCTTGAAAATGGAAAATCTTCAACCTTATGAAACGAAATCCACACCGTGGCTGGTGCTGTGACACGTGACAGTGGCCTGCCAACGTGTGATGACCGTTTCCTACCCAGCGCACATCACACAAAACTTATCGTACCCTACAAAATGTTGTTAAAAGTTCATAAAAACATGAGTTCCATTCCCCACCATGCCCACCTGTCCTCTGGACGCGAGAGAGCAAGCAAAAATCGAAAAAAACAAAACCAACCTGCTGATGGTGTAGACAGCAAGGTCACCCCGTGTACACGATGTGTGATAGTCAAATCGATAAGATGCCGGCAACAATATCGCCATCTATCTGCGGCTGCCAAAGAAGCTGTATGCCGGAGCGCGCTCCCTCAGACCAAGCTCTCGCCCTCTCGATCGCCATCAACAGAGGCCACCCTGGCAATGGACGATGACCTTGCTACCAATTCTTGCTCGGGCGATGAGAAAGTCAAGGCGCCGAAGAACGAAAACGACGTGCGGACTAAAATAAAGAATAAACAAAAAAATGTATACTCCGTGCTGTTCTCTGTGCGAATGAAATCCAAAAACGAACTTATATATCAATGATTTCTACTTGCGGCAGCAATTCCCTTTCTGCTCCTCGCATTCGCCCCGCCTGGGCACGAGCGGTACGGCCGTATGTAGGTAACGCATGAATCCCTGTAGCGGACTACTGAGACAGCCAAGCATAAGTATCGCGAGAAGAAATAGCCACAGCAGAGGCACACAAAAACAGCAACGAACGAGCAATCGAGGCCGTGGTTAAAGCCATTGAGCTGCGCGGGTGCCCACCAAAAAGTATTCGAACCCTCCTCTCCTCTCTCTCTCCCTCTCTCTCCCTCCATCTCCAACCTGCCAACGTCGCTCTATCTGTAAAATGCCAACCCATTCACGCCCGAAACACAACCAACGATAACCAAGCCCCCATCCGCAAAAAAGTACGCGTGTGGTAGATACGTGTCGCCTTGCACGATCGTTACTATCCCCCACCTCCCCACCTCGTCCGAAGATCGGTTATCACCACGGACAATGTTCATTCTCTCTCGTCTCCGTCCATCGACAGCAAAGAAAAAGGAAAGAAACAAAAACAAAGACAGAGCTCAATAAAAGCGAAACGCCGGGGGTTCCGTGAGATCCACCAACGCGCTAGAGATAGGGGCCTTCGTTTCTATCCCATCGACGCCACGCCCCGTCCCCAGGCGGTTTTCGAAATGGAGCTCGAAAACAAGGCCGCCGAAACATGCTATGGCAGCGGTAGAGCTTCGTGGCGCATCACCCGGGTCCCCCCCCCTCCGCCCCCCCTCCCCCCCGCGGATGGACGGGGCTCCGTCGATGAACAACAGCAATCGAATAGAATAGCGCGGCAGAAGACCGACCACACCACACACACACGACAACCCATCCCATCGCTGCTGCATGGCTCCGACCATAGCCAATGATGTCGCCAGCGCACATCAGGGAAAGTCGAAGGAAGGTGGATGGGCTACGATAGTCAACACTCGTTAGGCCCCTTGGTCATCGCGTCCCTCTCCGCCTGCGTCGTCTGCTTCCCGCTCTTGATCTTGTCGACCAGCCTTTGCGTCATGGACGGGCGGAAGCGGCGGCGACGGCGGCGGCGGTTGCGGCACCCGGAAGGTGTTCACGCAAGAGGCGTTATTGTTGTCAGCGGTGCGGCAGCGGTGGTCGGGCGCAAGGGAGAAAAGCCTCACGCTGCGACCATGACCCCGGCTTTCCGGCGGTTGCCGAAGCAGCATAAAGGCCGTCTTGTTTCGGTTTGGGGTGCTGGAAGGCGTCGCTGTTGGTCGTTTGGGTTGCTGTAGGGGGTCGTGTTCAGCTCTTTCACGAGGCTGCATAAAATTATGAAAAAAAAAACATTGTTTTTAAGCACAACGGAAGAACATGGGTACAGTAGTCAACAAAGCAGGTGTAACTCAAAAGCAGTAGAGGTCCCTGTTTAGTGCCAGGGTGTGCGCTTCACCGGCACTATACCGGGCACCGGCACGATTCAAAGTACAGAACGACTTGATATTCCAGTGTATGCGAGCCGAAAACACCGGCACCATACCGGCAACCGGCACTATTCAAAGTACAGAACGACTTGATATTCCAGTGTATGCGAGCCGAAAACACCGGCACCATACCGGCAACCGGCACTATTCAACCGGCACTGAACAGGGACCTCTACTGTATCAAGACGTGTCGATTTTTCTAACGAAACAGTGCCAAAGAACGCATGCGAGGACGGGTGCGTGCGGAGAGCAAAACTTGCGCCGGCAAACACACCACGTCGTTCTCATAGATGCTTCTTCGATTTCGATGCGAAAGAAGAAAGAAAAATCCACCTCTACCCAGCTCCCCCCCATCATCCTACCTCTGTGGCCTAAAGCCGCGATGCGGAGGTGCCGGAAAAAAAGTGCGCCAGGGCCAACACACACAGCAGCTGTGCGATCGATGATTGAAAAAAAAAAATCTCGTTTTCTCCACAATCTTAAAAGGCTTGCCAATGCCGACAAGAGGGGTGGCTTTGCTTTGGAAAGATGTATCTCGTCGTCGATCGATCGAGAGAGAGAATCGCATTTCCTTGCACGTTTCGGATTGGTTACCCTCTCCACTAGCTGCGGAACAACTGAGCCCAAAAAATCGATCGCACACGTGTAGATAGATGCCATCGCCGCGTACAAAGGTGGCTGGTGGCTCCGGAAACATGTGCAATCCTCGTCGAGATGTGAAAGCTCTCCTTGCGTGCGCCGGGGTCAGTGATAGTGTTTGGCCCCTCTCTTTGGTTGTGCAGCAATCGACCTTCAACCAACCGCACACCCACACGTGTGCGGTCGGTCGCCGGCACTTCTTCAGGTAGTAGTAGTAGCACGCAGGCTTAAAAGCATCGTTTGTTCACGCACAGAAGCGAGCCCCGTCCAGCGCACCGACGGACTTCGATTAAACCCGCATTGAACCCTGTTTTTACATATGGTCTTGGCCGTAGAATTGTGTGTCGAAAACTTTCACGCGTACTCATAGAGCCTACCGATGTTATTGGAGGCTGCACAAAGATACTATCCCCCCGTCGACCGATCTTTACAGGCCAGGGCAAATAGGTGGCGGTGCCGAGCATGGCGGTGTTAGCACCGTCTCCTCGAGAGCCCTACACTGAAACCTACACTGCGGCCATTTTATAGTTCCCCTACTGTCGAGGAACTACTACAACAACCTCGGCCAAGCTAGAGGTGGTCTCGAAGTGCGGGCGCTAATATATCTGTAGCAACCATCCAAGAAATTTTGTGCCCCGTAAATTCATTTTTCGGAAGGTGTACGTAACCCTCGCTTTGAGGGCAGTTGGCCTGTGACTACGGAAGGCGTCCGCGTCAGATGGACCAGTAAGGACATTAGAGGGTAGAGTGGAGACCGGAACGGGCTTCTAATGTGAAGACAACAACAACAAACCACCCCACTCACGCTTCGACGTGGTCTTTGATCTCCGTGCGCACCCTGCGGAAGGTCTCCAGCGGCTTCCCATCCGGATCGTCCAGCTGCCAGTCCTCGAACACCCCCGCCTTCTGCCACGGTTCGGGCAGGCTGG